GCTGCCGCAGCCGCTGCGCCGCCGCCTAGACTAGCCTGGGCTGCTTGTTTTGTCTCTGAAATTGACAAGGACGCAGGGAATCCGCTGCTAAATAATGTTTCTGGTAACTTTCACGTTATTCCCCCCTCCCCTCCGCTCCCTGCCCCCGGGGAGGCACTGGCCCCAGTCTTCCCTCGTCTTCGGCGCTCTCCTCCTGATTATTAGCGTTTTTCTTCTCTTTATTTTGTTTCATTTCGCCTTTTGATTTATTGGATCCTCGGGAGGAGGCAAAGGGGGGTTAGGGGTGGGATCCAGGGCTTCCTCCTCACACTAACTCCACTTCTCCCTCTGGCTCGCTACGGTTCTGCTGCCTCCGGCCCGAGCGGGACCTCCCGGCGCCCCCTCAGTCCCTGGCCTCACTGCCCCCCTCTCCCTACTCTAAACGCTGCTCTTGGTTCATACTTTTTCATTTTAAAATTTAAAAACATTTCCCCCCGCAACTTTCAACTCGTTGTTTCGGCTGGTTTGGTTTCTGTGTGTTCAACTCGTGCTCGGTACTTTTCTCCTTTCTGACTTTTGTTTTTATTTCTCCCTCTCTCTCTATCTCTCTCTCCCCTGCCTGCCCCCTCTTCCCTTCGTCTTTCTCCCCCGCTCCCCCCCCACCTCTATTCCTTTCCCACTTCTCTCCTTGCTTTCTTCTCCCATCTTCTTTTTCTATTCCCCCTCGGCTCTCCCTCACCTCCCGCGCCCCCCTCCCCCTTGCCGGGTCCCGACAGTACGATGAGCTGCCCCATTACGGCGGGATGGACGGAGTAGGGGTGCCTGCTTCCATGTACGGAGACCCTCATGCGCCGCGGCCGATTCCCCCGGTTCACCACCTGAACCACGGGCCGCCGCTCCACGCCACGCAGCACTACGGCGCGCACGCCCCGCACCCCAATGTCATGCCGGCCAGCATGGGATCCGCTGTCAACGACGCCTTGAAGCGGGACAAGGACGCGATCTATGGGTAAACCAACCCCCCTCCTCCCGACCCAGCATACTGTTTGTGAGTGCGAGTGTGTGTTCGTCTCTGTGGGGGTTGAAGGGATGGTCGACTAAGTGGGGAGTTATTTCTGCGGGGGAGGGGGGGGTGGGAACCGCTTGCCTTCAGAAAGGACAGAGAAGGGGGCCTGCTCTTCTTCGCCTTAAGTGTAAGTCCCCGAAAGATAAAGCTTCCTCCACCCCCACGGCCCGGTCACTCCGGACCCCACAGCCCAGAGTGACTGAGTCCTGAGAATCTTGCCAGGGCCTTCTCCCCAAGGACGGGATTCCTGGCCAAAGGACGCAGAACTGGTCCTTCCAGGGCCCCTAACAGAGGCCTTGACGAAGGAGAAAGTTTCCTGCCGATGAGGAGCAACTTTGGGGGTTTTTTTGGTTTGTTTGTTTTTGTTTTTGTTTTGTTTTGGTTTTTTTCCTCTTCTGTTTCCTACCGAGAGTCTGGGAGTCACTAAATGCAGCTTGAGCTGGGATCAGGGCTGCTTCTGTCGGCCAGGAAGTCCTAATCACCCACTTCTTAATTCTCTGTAAATAAAGGGGTAGACCTTGAAGTGCAGCGGGGTGGAAGGGACTGCGGCTTGCATAGAGCTAGCTGCTCTTAGGAGGTGTGAGGGAGATGGCTGGAAATTCCGTATTTTATATTCTGAGGGAACTCGGGAGAGGGATGGAGGTGCACGGTCCAAAAGTGTACCACTGGTGCTCTTCCAGTTGAGAGGAGGTGGGGAAGGCGGCGGTTTGCCGAGGGGAGGGGACGGTTGGTAAACGGCAACTGAGCCTGAAGCCAGAGGCCGCAAGCATCCCGAAGTGTAGCTAAGCCGCCCGGAGGAACACAAAGGGCAGACGCGCACGCACACTTCCAAGTTTTAACACTCGGTTTATTTATTTTTGCCTGCTAGAGAAATGTGGTCTTTGGAAGGAAGCTCTTGGGCGTTTAACATTCCTATTATTTTGGCCCCCACACACGGGCTTTACTAGAAGTAGAGCAAACAAGTTTATAAGGCAAGGGGGTGAAGAGGTTGGAAGAGCACTCTCTCCGATTTAGGTTTAGGAAATATCACTTCGGGTATATATATAGGTGAAGCCTTCGGCCTCCTTCGAAATAACCATTAATATGGAGAGTTAAAGCTTTTTTTTTTTTTTTTTTTTTAATTTCAGAGTGTTCCTTTCTTGAGAGGTCAGGGCTGGGTATCAGGGGGTTGGTTCCGCGGCCTCTGTAAGTGTGGGGATTGGGTCTGGATCAACTCCGGGCTCCAGACTGCCTGAGCTGCTTGGATGTTTCATTACTTCCCACTGAGGCTTTTCTTACTTGGCGGGCTGAAGTGGCCAGGGGCTTCTCTGACTAGATCCGAGGGACTCCTGAGCTGAGGGAAAGGGCCAGGCCGTTTTTCCTTTCTGTTTCTGGCCCAGGCTCGGCTGGCTAAGGAAGGGTTGTAAAGTGTGATGCGTGCCTGTTTTATTAAAGAAGGAATCCGAACCCTCCAAACTTGTTGATTACAGTTCTTGCTCCTTCCCCTCTGCACCCCGTCTCCGTGTGTGTGTCTCTGCGTGGCGCTGCCCGTTAGGCACCCGTTGTTTCCTCTGTTAGCTCTGGTCTTTGAGAAGTGCGAGCTGGCGACCTGCACTCCCCGGGAACCCGGAGTGGCCGGCGGAGACGTCTGCTCCTCCGACTCCTTCAATGAGGACATCGCGGTCTTCGCCAAGCAGGTCCAACCTTCTTGACCCACTCACCCTCCTGCAGACCCTCACTCCTCCTCCCCTTTCCTCCGAGCTTTACATGAAAGAGGAGGAAAAGGCCGGGACACCCGATCTGTTCCTCTGGCCCAGTCCGTGCTCTTCGCCTCCTCCCCATCCCTGAGCCTGGAGGCGAATTGGAAGCGGAGATAAATATGGGTGTTTGTTTTTCCCCCCAGCCAGGAATACAGGGGCTCGACCCTCGAATTAAAGTTGACCTGCTCCTAATCTGGGGCTTGGCCTTTTCCCCCGCCTGCAGCTACTTGAACAAGTATTGGGGATAGGGGCTGTGAGGGACCAGAGAGTGCCTGGGAGGGAAGGAAGCCGGGCGCCTCATGGGGCGGTCCGCGCGGGGCGCTAAGGCGAGGGAGGCTGAGAGCCACAGCCCCTTAGACGGCTGGATGAGGGGGTACTCAGGCCCAAAGAACGGTCCTGAGTTCCCAGCAACAGCTTAGCAGATCCAGGTGCCCCTCAATGGGGCGAGGAGTAGAAGGCCCCAGTACTTTTTCAACCGAACCCACTAATTTAAGGCATTAGTTTGTTCCGTGTATTTTACCAAAGCCCCTCTCCTCTTCTCCGCCACTGCCCTTCCACCGTACCCACTCAGACGGTTTAGTCCGTGACAGCGTTTTTCTTCTTTTAAGTTGGGGCGGTCATTCATGTTGACTTTCCCTGCTTCTTACAGGTTCGCGCTGAAAAGCCACTTTTTTCCTCAAATCCAGAGCTGGACAATTTGGTAAGGCTCACCGTTTCTTGCCTTTCCCCAGCCTGCTCCCCCCCCACCCCCCACCTTGCCTAGAAGCACCCACTTTCCCCCTGGAGCTCTGGGGAGTTGGAGCAGAGCCCTCTTTTGAAGCTCAAGAGCGACAGGGAGGAAGAGGGAACAGCTTAGAGCCCCCGCAAGGGCGATGGGAGGTGAGGGGTGGGATGGACGTCAGGGAAAGCGGAGGCCGGGGAGCAGCAGGCGAGGACACAGCGCCCAGAGTGTGAGCAGGGGATGAGTCCCAGGTCTCGGCCCCGGGAGCGAGGCTGCGAGAAGTGAGTTATTTCCTCTGTTTGCCAGGGTAGGCAGCCGAGCCCCCGGCTGCTCACCCGAAGGAAGTAACCGCGGGCGCAGCAGCAGCGGAGGGCGGGCGGGGAGATGGGGGGAGGGAGGTATGGGGCAGGCGGGCGCAGGCCACTTTTAGGTGCGATTCTTTTGCTAATTTGCACAATTTCAATATTAAAAGTACTTAAATCCGCTTTCAAAGGCCTTGCTTCACCATTCATCTTGAGTATTTCCTTCTTCAGTAAGGACGGATTTCGCAGGGTGTGCTGTTCAAAAAAGCTTTCTCTCTCCGAAGAAGCGGATTTTTTTTTTTTTTTTTTTTTTAATTTGGCCTGAGGTCGAGGAGGGGACGGTTAAAGACTCAGGCGGAGAAAGAAGGCCTGGCCCTAGGAAAGCAGTCCTTACAAATAGCTTAGTGAACACAGGAGGCAAAGATATTAGATGCTTCGGCTCATATTGAGTCAGATTCCTACCCCGTGGCCAATGAGGCAGAGATGATCAGTAATCACTTGGTTTTTCTGACGATTTCTTGATGTGTGGGTTTTGCCCCCCCCCCCCCCCCCCCCCCCGCCCCAACTCAGGACTTCTGAATCACAGAGCCTAACTCCACACTCTAAACTTTTCTTTCAGATGATACAAGCAATACAAGTACTAAGGTTTCATCTTTTGGAGTTAGAAAAGGTAAGCAGGAAATGACACTCCCCATTTTGATTTAGCCACTTTCCTTTCTTAGTTGAGTTGGGATGTCTTTAACAAAACTCCAGTCTGAGGGATTGAGCACCTGGAGGTTTTGAGGAACTTGTTACCATGTCCTTCCTTCGAATTGCTGCTCAACCCAGGGGCTCAGAGGATGGGTGAATTAGGACAGCCCTGCCTGCTCCCCTACCCCACCCCCTCCTGCCTTTCCCCCCAGGCATTCAGGATTATTTTGAAATGCAGCAAACCATTTGTGTTACTGGACATTCAGCCTGCTTGCGTCTCTATTAGCTTAGCCCTCAGACCAGAGCGAGTGTTAGGTGCAAGCAGAGGGAATCATCCTCGCTGGGGTGTCTTTACATTGCTCTGCAGCTCAATTACTGTCCCCTGGAAACATTCAAAACTCTTAGTTTATTGAATCGCAAATGCCAATGCTATTCCCAGTTCCAGCGTTCTAACATTTTGATGTTATCAAATTGGATTTTCCCCCTTGGACTCCCAGTCTGAGCCCAGTTATTTCCAGTCCTGTTTCTTCTTTCTTTATTGTTAACTTGTTGCTCAGGGAAGTCTCTGGAGAATAATATCTGCTGCAACAATTGCTCTATTGTTTCCTTGCCTTCAAGTATTACACCCATTAATTAGAGTTAGTTTGGAAGACATTGCACTGTTGCTCTTTCCAAATGTAACCTTGCAACCTGACTTTTTCCCCTTTAAAAATGAAACAAAACAATAACAACAACAATATGAGCTGAACCCTCCACCATGACCCTCCTTTTAGGTCCACGAACTGTGTGATAACTTCTGCCATCGGTACATTAGCTGTTTGAAGGGGAAAATGCCCATCGACCTTGTCATTGATGAAAGAGACGGCAGCTCCAAGTCAGATCACGAAGAACTTTCAGGCTCCTCTACAAATCTCGCTGACCATGTAAGTCTGAGAGCCCTTTGGCATTCTTTTGAGACCACTGGGTAAAGCATTAAAAAAAAAAACTTGTAACATTTAGCTAAGCTTAAACTTAGTTTTCTTTTTAAATGATCTGGTCTCTTTGGGGGTCTTTTCTCCCTTTGTCACTACCTCTGCCATACCCTTCATCTTCGTTTGCCCTTTCCTGGCCCCTCTCCTTATTTATGTGGAGAACCAAAGAAACCAGGGAGTTGATAGAGTGATTTGTGCTCTTAATGTGTAAAGTTTCCTGGATTTGGTGGCTTGAGTGTTAGCAAATTGTCTGTTTGATATGGTGACTGCTGCCTTTTCTGCTTTCTCAGCTCTGTGTAATCAGTGCAGCCTGGACAGAGGGGCAAGTCGGCTAGCTGGACAGGGTGGGGGAGAGAGAGAACTGAGGACAAGAGGAACCAGGGAGGGAGGGCCGGTTTCCCAGTCTCTCACAGAGATGACAATCCTGAGAATTATTGGCAATCTTGCATTGCATTAGAAATAAAAGAAGGAGTGAACACATTACAATTCTCTGAGCTCTTGCTCTATAGAAACTTATTGTCAGTATATGGACTTATTGCCAAGTGCCTGAAGCATCTTCATAATAAAAGACAGTAACTTTGATGAAACAGTTATTAACAATGTATTACAGAAAGCTGAAGGGAATTGCGATTGAGTAACCATAGGTTCGTGGTTGAATTTTAACACTTAAACAGTTGGTGAATGAAGACAGAGTATAGTAAGGAGTGACTGTGTATGTCAGGCCAGGATGGGAGATTTCTTTCTATTCTGTTTTTAATCCTGTTTTGGAACCAATTTAGGGAGTCTGATGCTTAAAAAAAAAAAAAAAAAAGGAAGGAAGAAAGAAAGAAAGAAAGAAAAAAAGCATATGTAGTGAGACTGAAAATTTGAAAAAGAAGCAAAGAAAGATTGCAGCTGGTAGGAAAGACAAGAGTGGGGAGGTTAAAGAGTGGGTGTGAACAGCAGTTTATTTATAGGAACTCAAGCGGGGGGCGGGGGACAGGGTGTCTATAGATTATATTCAATTGAGCTTACAACCTAAGTGATATAGGCTACAGTCTAATAACTTGCTGGCTGAAATATTAACTTAACACTTTGTGGAGTTAAACAGGTTTCGAGGCTTGAAGGCAGTTTTTATCATTACCACCAGCTCTCCCCTCCATTCCTGGGTGTTAAGAGGAATGGGTTGAGATGCCTTGAGAATAAACCTTCTGTGAGGGTCTTTATCTCCCCCCACCCTCCAAAATAAAGTTTTGAAAATATGCAGGCATACATTTTAATTATGTTCCTTTGTACTGTATGGAAAGCCAGCCTAAAAACAAAAGTTAAAAAAAAAAAAAAAGGAAAGAAAACCTCAGTCTTGGTTGTCCAGTTCTGAGACAGAATAACTACTATGGCATTGAAAGCTCGTATGGCTATCTTTACTCTTGGCTTTTTCCATCATGATGGGGGGAACTTTGAGGGGCTCTTTTGTATTTGAGTGTATTAATTGAAATCAAAAGGTTGCAGCAAGCAGCTATGGAAAGTTTACTCGCTGATATGTGGCTATATGATGTGTGGTTGTTGTCCACAAGGCATGACACTCCCTTAGAAATATTTGTTGTTGTTGTAATTTATTTGTTTATTTTCATTGCTTCCTGTTTCTCAATTCAAATGCAGCCTGCAATGTTGGGGGAACGAGAAGGAATCTAGTTACATGGTTTGTAGGATGAGAGGTTCACAGTTATCTGCAGCCAAAAAACGTTTCTCATGACATTTCCAGGGGTCTCGACTACTTGGTTTTCTAGAATAGTTTCTTGGCAACTGTTTTTCAAGTGGATGTACGTAACTAGAACATGCCGATGTTTACATAGAAGAGAGAAGATAAACTCGGCTGTTTAGAATATTGGCTGATAGACGGTGCCAATTTATGAAACTATTGTAATATTTAAATTACACTTAAAAAGGAAGTGGTACCTAAGAGGATAGCGCTTTAATAATTTAACAATCATCAGCTTTGGATAAAAGAGTCAAATATAACATTTGTTGCTCCTCTTCAGGCCCCCAATCAAGTAAAGATGACAACTGATTTATTTTGAACCCATGAGGGCTTGCCACCTCATTGGGCATCATAATTTAAAGCCTTTTATTTCCTAGAGATCTGAACTATAACATTTTTACTTTAGCCCCCTGCTATTTGTTTTGAAAGGAAGCACTAATTTGTTCCACCAGGCACACCGAGTGGGAAATGGCGAGATTTGCTGCAGACTTGAATTTTATGCGGGAGGGGAGAGAAAACCTTGTAGAGTTTTCACCATTTTTGATATTTTTGTACCAGAGGTACATTGGTTATATTTATTTCCAAGCATCCCCCTACAAAATGAATTCTTTATGTGTCTGCCTCTTCTGCAAGTACACCCTCCCTTCACCCTCCCCCCGCCCCAGCAAAAAAGGGTAAAATACCCCGGAACTACTACCTGAAAAGTGGTATGAGTGGGACATTTTCAGCATGTAAATGTGTCCAATTTGAATCTCCAGGTTTATTTTTTCATTTGCTTTGATATGCATATTTAATACATTGCCCCAGGCTGGATCTCATTTGGTGCACGCTGGTGCAAGGGTGATGATGAGCCACTTCAGAAGGACTGAGACAGCGTGTTGTTTTCTCTGTTTTATCTGTTGGCCCACTATTCTGATCTACTGCGCTTCCTCATGGTTTTATTTGCACATGAAATGCCGAGAGCATTTCAACTTATTGGCTATGAATAATGACAGCTAAAAAAGAAGTGTAGTTTAATTTGTTGTGTGCCAAGGTTTCTCTTGTGGAGGTGACAGTTTGTGACAGCTGTTTGACACCCCCAAAACACAGACACCTCTATACTTATTAAGTGGTATCAAGCTGCACTGTGTGTGTGTGTGTGTGTGTGTGTGTTTAAGGAAGGATCGGGCAAGGAGAGAGAGATAGTGAAAGAGAAAAGAAAGAATAAGTGCGTAATTTTGTATAGTGGAAAGCAGAGAGAAAAGCGTCAGGAACAAAATATTAGGTGCCAAAATAGACTTCTATTATAGGAAAAATTTGAAAATAAAACTGAAGGAAAGTAATTGCTACAAATATCTTGAAAGCAAGTATTTTGGGCAGGCTTTTAAGAATGAGTTTTATATACGATTACACAGTAAATCAGGCTGTTGTCATGCTGATTTCACATTGTGTAATTTTATGTAAATAATCTGATGCAACATTGATAAAAAGACAACCAGGATGTCCTAACCTTTCGTATGGTACATTCATTAAAGATACTGAACTCGTTCATTTATTATCGACATTTACATGATGGGCATGATGATAGAAGGAAGTTTGGAATTAAATAGAAAATAAAATTTGCAACACTGGCTCCTATTTTGTTGTTTTTAGTAAATTCATAATGAATGCTTACATTTTTGTATTATAACATAGTTTATTTTATGTTATTAAACATGAGAGTAATTGTTATAGGTGGGAAACAACTATTACAGTATTCTTTGGAATATTGGGAAGAAGAAAATAAGATGGTGAAAGAAAATAGAACTCTATTTTCCAGATGCAATTTGTGTTAAGTTTCCCATTCAAATTTATTATGTTTAAAATAAACATGTCAAGAAACCAGTTCTTCAAAAAAAAACTTTCAACTTGAAAACTCTTGTGGAATATTCATGCTTTTCCTAGTCTATAGTATTTCTAAATAATAGGTGATATCCACATTTTCTGCTTTACATAATTTTAGATCTAGTACAGACAAATAAAATATATCTTTACATTTACATTTAAAGATATCACATATCTTTAGATCAGCGTTAGATGAATGAAATATATCTGTTTGAAATACATTCTCTGAGCCAAGCTCTATTTGCCTGAAGTGCATACAGTTATTATTTCTAATTAATGTTCATAAGGAACTCATCTTATTTATTAATTTTTTGGATGAAGTAAGGGAAGAAAATACAACTTTATCTGTTAATAGTTAATGACACGTGCCTTATAATTGACTAGCTCTGATAATATGATTAATAAAAGAAAAAAAGAATTTCTATGTTGCTATGTTGTGTAATTACCTGAAGACATGCTGTTGTTTTCTTTTGCATCTCTGAATATGTCAAGTTTATTTATCTGTGTACAGCTTCTAAAAATGGGTTAAGAACCTTGTCCCTGACAGAATACAGGCAAGTGTCTAGAGGTAAAATCTATTAGTACCTGGAAAGGCAGCAGGGATTAGGCAGCAAGGAAAGGGTTAGGTTTAAGTGATTGGTCTATAGGATATCAAGGGGGAAATAATGGGATTTGATAATAATATTAATAATACAAATGATTTATTTTATCAGATAGTTTCTTAAGTTCTAGGATAGGATTAGACTTTGTGGTGTGTTATCCAACGTCTCCAGGGACCCATTCCGGGAAAGTTCTACCTCTGAGTTCTTTCCACCAACTCAACATGGCGGGAGTCATGGGTTTTCTGTTGTTACTGCTGTGTAGCTTCCGAAGGTTGATAGCTCCTCTGTCAATTTCCCATTCAAAATAATTATATTATTTAAATCACTTCAGTTGTGCCGTTGAAGTATGTTTTCAGTGTAACTGTGATGAGGTGAAATTAAACAAACACTTGACAACCACTGACACTCACTATCAGATTAAAATTTTGATACTTTAAAAATTGATTTCCTCTTTTTTTTCAGACTGAATGTGTTATGGGATATCCCAACACAATTCAGAGTTATAGGAGACATTTTATAATGTGATGGTATACTAACAAAACAAGAAATTTCTATTTTTTCTAAAAGTTAAATAGAGGAATCCATTTTTCTTTTTAATTTTTGGAATTCATTTTTGGAATTTGCAAAGAGTACTTGCCACTTCTTTGAGAGTTACTCACATATTAATTCCCAAAGCTCAATAGAGGGTGGAAGCAGGGAGATGAGGGAAAGACCCCAGCTCTATTTACATTTTTAAAGAGTGAGTCCATGTTCTGAAAGCATGCGTGGTTCTCCTGAGTTCTTATGTCAACTTTAGAATAATGAAGTTGAAATTCCAACATTTTTTCAAACCATACAATTAACATTTTTAACTTTTGTAGGCTTGAATACCTCATGATAGAAGTCCTCATCTTATTTTAAAAAATAATTTCTGCACAATGTTAATTAGGAACTAAAACATCATAAAGTCATAGGAAATATGTTACCTATTAATTATGTGTACTAATGCAAGCATATCTTGCCTTTGTTGTTTAAACATATCGAGTCAGATTAGTTTTGCATGCTTCATTTGCTGGTTAAAATATCTTTATATATGTTTACTATTGCTTTCTACCTACAAGCACATTTTCTGAATTAGTCTACTGTATTGTTCAAGTTCGTATAAAAATTTTGGCTTGGTGTTATGTATCACATGTTAGTTGTGTAGGTTCTAGAAAATCAAATGCTTATTTTAAAGTATTTTTTTAATAATAGAAATAAGAAGTAGAAGTGACCTTAGGGATTATCTTGCCTAAGTTCTTAATTTTAAAGAGCTAGAGGAAGCAAGTCCCAGGGAAATGAAGTGCATCACTTCATGTGCTTAAGGCCACATGATCTGTTAGAGGTGGCACCCTAGTATCTTAATTCAAATCTAGTGCTCTCTCTCCTATACCACATCAATTGAATCATCTTTTCACTTGGGGTCTATGATGAGTTTTAGATAGAACTTGTGTAGTATGGCTTTTTCTTTCCTTCTTGAAGCCTAGTACATTTTACTTCTCCACTCAGTTTTGCTTTTATTTAGAAATGCGCCTACATTTTCCTCCATTGTCTTTTTGCAATGGAAGAACCATGAGCTTTATGGAATCATTTAAACAGGGCAATACCACCAATTCACCAGGACTTACTATTTTCCTATGGGCAGGTCCCCACAGAAATGCCATAGGGGTGTAAAATGTTACAATTTCCACCATATCTGCAACCTCAACAAAAGAGGCTTGCATATGTTTTTCTTCCTATGCCCAGAGACTCCTTTCCTATCTGTGCTCTTTCCTAGATTTAGCAAAATTCAATGATGGTGCTAAATCATTTTTTTTTTTTAATTTCAAGGGAGAAAACACTGGCAGAATTGTGTTTTCTAGGGAAAGCTGTGTGTAAATGAGAAACAGAGGAGAGCAGCAGAATGATCTCCTGTGGCCTCACCACTACAAGCTCTCCCCATCTTGTCTCATGCTTTTATATTAATTACAACTTGCATTATCAGCTGTGAGTCTGTAGCCCAGCAAATAGAAAATACTGCCCCTGGAGACCTAGCTTCTTGTATCTATTTTCCATCTCCTTCTATTGTGTTCCACTCAGTATTCACTGCTTTTCTCCTGCTAACACTGCTCTTTAACGCAATTACGTAAGAGCAAGAAGAGTACCATATTTGACTCCCAATTATTAAAGCCACTGGGAATAGAAACATGTTCACTCCTTGCCCTCGGGTGTCTTCAGGATACTTGGGTTGAAGAACAGGACATATAGAGTGCAGTGCATCTACCTGAGTGCTCACCCACACACATGCACTCGGAGAGCATTTCTCTTTATTTTCTACATACATCATGTGTTGCACATGCTGTCATACGCCACTTTGGTTTCAAGATACACTAAACTTCTGCATATAATTTGGCAGAAAGCCAGGCAGTTATTCTTGAAGGATGTAAACTTGGAAACTATTTAGGGAGGGGGAAAAAAAAAGAAGAAGAAGAAAGAGGTTGTGATACAAACAAATATTTCAGTCTAAGAAAAAAAACCCAGTGTTATGGGTAAGGGATTATATTTTATCTACACATGTAGGTTGTAATTTTTTATGACCAGGAAGGTAGCAATTTTTTATTGACCAGATTATCAGCATTTGTCTTTGTATATGATCGAGTCACCATGGTCTAGCTGGATAGGAACAACTTTGGGGTAACTCCTCAGCCCTGAAGCCCCAGAGAGATCCATCTGTTTTTCCTACTTTCAAGTTAGGTGAATGCCATGGTTACTCCTTAGTTTGTGTCAATCTCTCAAACAAGGTCATAATTGGGACACTCTGTGGAAATAAACATCTTATGACACTTGTTGGGGACAGCATTTTTGAGGATGTGGAGGAGAAGAGAGAAGAGACAGGGGAATGGTATGTTAAATAGTGAACAGGAGCAAATTTTAGGACTGGGCTGAAAACCAAAGATCCAACTCACTTAGAGGAATCAGTTGCTTTTAAAGTAATATTTGCTTATGTGGCTTATTTTTCACCCCTTTACTTTAGAACCTCCCCCCTCCAGAAAACCACTAAAAGAGGTACACTAAATTGTAAATTAATGAGGTCTGTCTTTAAAAACTCAGTACAGGTTTGACTGAGAGGGACAAACCAGTATTTTCAGTTGCAGGAAGTCCTTTTGAGCAGTCGCTTCAAGTCACTCTAGTGCCCAAATAGAAAGACTTGCTTCATTTGAATGATGATATAATAGTTGTTGGATGACATTTACCTTAAAACATAGTTGAGATGTTAGTAGTTAATTATTGTAATTTTCATGAGGGGTAAGGAGCTTTTATAGCAGCCTGCTTAATAAAAAGCCTGCAGTGCATAAAATTAACATCACTTGCTGTATACACTGAAAAGTTTAGCCTAGGTGAATGTGGTTCAGTTATTTCATTTTCTGAAAGAAGGCTCTAGCCAGTGTTATTGTAGGACTAAATTCATGCCATGCTATCCATCCTTCCTTCTTTTCTTTCTTTCTTTCTTTCTTTCTTTCTTTCTTTCTTTCTTTCTTCCTTTCCTTTCTTTCTTTCCTTTCTTTCACGTAATTCTTCTAGCTCTTTATCTGATTACCATCCGGCAAACAGCTGATGCAAAGAGGCTGCAAAGCTTGAAGAGCCCCTGTATTCTGTTTGCCTTTAGCTTGAAACTCTTGGAGTGGTTTCTAACTTAGATAAAAAGAGAAATCACAGGCATGACTTTGTCTTAATAGGGGCAGACCAGAACCTTGATTTTCATTTTATTCGACTCGTTCGCTAATCTCCTTTCTAAAACATAACCTTTAGAGATCTAAACCTGTGCTCTATTTAGAGTCACAGGATTTCTGCTTCGGGTTTTTCCTTTGAATCAGTTGCTAGCCTGATGGCAGTGCCAATTGCATTATTTGATATAGATATTACTGATCTATAGAGCTTTGGGTCATTTCGTCATCTCTCAAAAATGCTAGATATTAATTTATAGTCAGTTTGTAGCAGACCCTGTAGAGGGGGGAGAAAAAAAGGTTGGTTTTGGTTGTTGTTGTTGTTCCAAATAAGAATAGTCCCTTATTTTGTCTCACCATGGTTTCTTGATTTTATTTTGATAAAATTTTATATACTATATATACAATAGAGTTGATGTAGAAGAAAATGAAAGACTTTTTTTTTTTTTCTGGATAAACTATATATAATGACAACATGGCAAGATTGCTTTCAGATGGTCAAGATGTTTGCATGTCGCCCATAGGCATGTCTGAATCCTTATTTACCAATTCTTGTGAGAAGAAATCGTGTACTTTGAGAGATTGATATTGTTATTTCATTTTGCCCCCAAAGAATCTCCCTGCCCCACCCCCCAGAAGAATTTGCTTGCCAGGAGATCTTTGGGCTCTAGTTGAAGTCATCACATGCAGGTGACAAGTGTACAGTTCTGGCCTTAAGGCTGGTCTGTTTCATGTGCAGTTCCTACTCCCCGTTTCTGCCAGAGGAAATTCCATCTCTTGCCTGCCTTCATGTGGTGCTGATAAAGTCCTTCCTGTACATTAGAATTCCTGTTTTCCTTTAAGCAACAGCAGGGGATTGGGAATGATCAGGAAAGGGGAGGAGGAACAGGAGAAGAATACACTGAGCATAGCATGAGCTATAATTTCTCAGTTTGCCTCGCATGTCCTCTGAAACAAGTCATACTTCCAGGAAAAAGCACCGCCCTGTGAATTGAGAGCTTCCGTGGAGCTCATGTGGAAGTCCCGTCCAGTTTACCAGATGGCTGACTGTTCATAGTTGCTTCATTTTGTTCACTGATATCACTCCGTCTGTTGGTTGTATAATCAGTTGGTAATTTTCGGAGTTCATTCAGGTTGGACTAGGTCAGTGCACCTGAAAGACGCAAAGGGCTGCCCCGTACTTTCCTGGATCTGTGGTTTTTTCTTTTCTTTTCTTTTCTTTTTTTTTTTTTTTAAGGGAGTCATTGAGTTTTGTAGATGTTCTGTAATTAGTATCCAAGAGTATTGGCCTCTTTCTTGGAAGAGTATGCCCCAATTAAGACAGCCAGAGTAGAAATGACTTCTAGATTTGTAAAAAGCTTTTTTCCCTAACTTTAGAAATTAACTTCATTGAGGTATAATTTGTGTATAATGCAATGCACCCCTTTTAAGTGTCTGTTTCAGTTAGTTTAAACACATGTAGACACTGATGTAACTAACCATCACCTCATCAAGATTCTGGAGCATCTTTTCTTACTTTTGGTACCAATCGCTGAAAAGACAACGTACCGTAGTATGGCATCTTTATATGCCTAGTTCCACAAATACTAATATGTATACATTTTTTGTCTCCCTCTGCACCTTTCCTCTTGTTTCTTCATTTATGGCTGAAATGGTAACTGTGGAAAAATCTCTTGGCATCCTGACATCAGAATCCTGCATCCTGGCGAGATCACGATGATGCAACCTCCACCCACTCAGCAGGCACCCCGGGGCCCTCCAGTGGGGGCCATGCTTCACAGAGTGGAGACAACAGCAGTGAACAAGGTAAAAGGTCAAGCATTCTCCTTGTACAAAGTAGACATAACTAAAATAACTTCAGTATTTTATAATATCGGTACATCTCCCTCCCTGTAAACAGGAGAGTGGCAGGTTAGAGAGCTGCTACGTTAGTATTTCCTCTCAACTTACATTACTTTAAAAAAAAAAAAAAGTCAGAGTGAGATGTCTAATCTTTAAGTAGACATTACAATAACAATTGATTAGTTCTGCCAATTCTTTTACAAATTTGGTTATCTACACTTTACTTCTCTGTGTGAGTAAATAGAATGATAGGCTTACTTTGCTGCTATTATTGCACTAGTTTGAATTATTCTATAAGCAGGATATTTTGTTTGTAATATCAACTGTAGGAGTTCTCTGTAATCAAGCAGTGATGCCTCGAAAGCACATAAAATGCCAAAATCTGTTCTTATGAACTCTAGAAGTACTGTGTGAATTTTATATGGAATTTTATCTTGGGAAGATGGATTTTGAAGTTCTTAGGTTATTTGTCCCCATTTCCAGTCAGCTGACATGGTGACTTTTGTCACAAATCCTAAAAATTAGAATAATCAGAGGGCAAGGGGGACGTCAATGGCTGATGACAGGAAGCCTCGCGTAATTTAGAATAAATTTTACGATTTAAAACTCACCTATTGCACAGAGAGTAATTATACATTGGTAGGGATGACTCTTCTATAGCTAAAATGATAATTTAAGGGAAGATGCATTATTGAATATAGGCCAGGAAAGTGTATAGATTTTACTTTTTAATATTTTACATTAGATGGTGTCTGATCTCCTAGGTCTATTTCATCTCTATTATGACTGTGTTTATGGCCACAATATTTAAGCATTAGACACTCTTCCAAGTGGAGGACAGTTTAACAGCCTGAGCTGTAGTCATATATGCCATTTAAAAGAAGGTGCTTGATGTAGGGTGAGTGCCTTGACTTCTCCAAGTTTCTGGCCACAGATTTTGGATTACTAGTATTCTAGAAGAGTATAGGAAGAAACTTGTCTTCTAAGATGCCATTCACTGTGAATAGGTCCAAATTAGAATCTGGGTTATTTGCGACTGATACAGAAATGAAAACTATCGGATGGTAAATTGTGGAAGAACTTGTCAGTTCAATCTATTTAGGCTTATCTGCTGTCTTTATTAGACCAGTTAGATTGTACATAAGAAAACCAAACTGGAAGGCATTTTGGAGATGGCGTGTACATGAATCCTGTGGATCTGCAGTGCAATGGCTTAATCGTGGTTCCATGTCACAGTGATGGACTTCTCAGGGTGGTTAAATCTGGGAAGCTTTGAATGAGTCCACCTCCCCTACCACCCCTAACTGCTATAACACAAAGGGTGAAATGTATCTATTAATAAAAACAAAACACCCTAACCATTGGACAAAAGAGGGGGGAAAAGAGAAGCAGACTTAATGGTCTAATGAGGCTATCTTCCAAAGACTTGTTGTGTGTGAGGCTCGCTTTGACCTTTCACTTTGCTCAGGAGCCCAGCGCTTCATTTTTCACATTCTTGCAATTACGTTAACGCTTCAAGCATTTCTGACTCCAAGTCAGCTAGCAACACCAGGCATAACTCAACACTGTGAGTTTTTCTCCTCTCTGTAGATTCATTAACAGGTCACGAAGGTCCCAACTGAAATTTAAAACTGCCTGGTTCTGTTGGGTTGGTTGAGTTATGGCAAGGGAGATAGCAGGAAAGGACCCGAGAGAAGGGGAGGGGGAGCGAGAAGACCCTGGGGTTTGGAGCTGGGAATTGTCGCGGCAACAGGCAAGGCATGGAGTTTTATCATTTCGGTTAGTTTTGCTTTGTTGTTGTTTTTGGTCAGAAAAAGAGAAAAGTTCTGAGATGGATACACTGGGTAAAAGCGAGGCCCACAAACCTCTATGTTGTGGGTAGCTGCACCCACTTATCCCATGTTGAAGGATTTGATCCCTGCAGGATTTTGTCCCTTTTATCATATCTCCGTGGGATTAAAGAATGGACATGGCGGCTTATGTGTACGAGCACTAGGAAGTCAGTCATTTTACTGTATGAAAGTGTGAGGGACAAAAACAAGTTATGATTCCTATAAAATAAGGAATAAGTTTTGGCGTGGAGAATTTCCTACCTGGCTTACCACATCAGTGGTCCCCAAACACATGTTGGAGGGTATTCTGTTTGTTACAGCAGACTAAATTTGAAGGCCGGGCTTGATGCATTTTGTCATACTCAGGCCTATGTTAGTCTTTTAAACATGTATTTAAGGTATTTTGAAATTTGGCCCACTGAATTGTCCAGAGTAGCTTTCTGTGGGAAAGATTAATTATCTGCTTCAGGGCAAAGTCAACAGAGATATTGACTGAAATCACATATGCTTATCCTAGGTTAAATCTTAGGGTTGCTGTATAATGGGAAACCTAGGAGGGAAATTTATGTTCCTAGTATTAAATATATTATAATGTTTCACTGGAAACCAAGTTCGTAGTTTAGAAAAGAGTTTTCTTGTGTATTCAGAATTTATTAGCACAACAGGCATATGGAAAACTGTAAAACGACTCAGTTTCAAAACAAATTATGATAAACAGAAAAAATAGGGATGAATTGTACTAAATACAATGTTTTCATACACATTTTAAATTAAACTTTAATAGCCATATGCTATAAAACAATACATGCATTTATGTTGCTTTATATTTTTTGTGAATATCTGTACTAAAATGGTTCATACACATCTTTACTTTGGAACCTAAAAATACCTCATTTTATGACTTGATAGTGAAAGAGCTACAGTTACACAGGTGAAAGGTCATCTTTTCCTCTCTAGTGTTTGTACAACAAACCAAATAGAGGGAAAAAAATCAAATTTTAGAAATATTGTAAGAAACAAACTTGGTAAAATGTAAAACCTGACTTTACTATGTCTTTCAAGCAGCACATGCCTAGCAGTAAACTATATAAATATGAACCAGATTTTCATTCACTCTGATTTCTTTTGCTAAAAGCAGCCAAAGGGAGGGAGTTTGTCTTGTTAGTCACATCAGAATGAAGAAAGAAATCTGGTTTTTCAGGGATAGAATTAGGGTACAGACTGGGGACTCTGGGGCAGTAACTGGCCCTCTTTGTGTCTGGCTTCCCATCAGTAAAATGGGGCTTGATAATAAGGCTTGGGGTCCCTAATTCTGTACCTGCTGAGTCAAAAGCTGCTTTGTATTTCATTGTGTATTTTGCCAGAGTAAAGACTAGGAAGCAGCCCCCTTGTTCATAGAGCACTTTGAGAGCCTTAGATGAAAGGCACAATATATGTACAAAGTATTATTATTATTGATGGGTTTGTGTAACTCCCATTAACGCTGATGGGAGTTACGCATGTGAATTGGCAAGAGAATAGACCCCTCAGTGTTTAGAGCACATGAAATTTACATTTTTTCCAGTGCTGTAATTGAGATGTTGACAAATTGGAGAATATTGATGAGCCTTTGTTTTAAGTATTTCGTGCCAAGTTTGTTTTATTTTTCCTGGTTTGAACAATGGTATGGGTTCAGCAGCAATGAATAAAAAGGGTAGAGTAAAGATAACTTTGTATTTCAATATTTTGATGTGCCAATATGAAATAAATTGTCTTAGGCAAATGGAATATGCTGTTTTAATCATTAGCTATGCATGAAAGAAAAATTGATGTTGACATCTTTGCTGTAAAATCGTTGTAATGGGGCCTTCCTTACAATTCATTTTTGTAAAATTCATTTTGTACATTTTGCAGCAATTGAACAATCCCTGCACTGTGAATAGGCAGGATTCCCAGAAATACCGAGACAGTTGGCCCAGTAACTGCTGAGCTCACACTGCACACCACACACACGTTAACCATACTGTTGCCAGACCCAGTTTAACCTAAATACATTAGCATACTAGCATCTATATGTCTCTAATCTTTCAGGACACAAGGCTGCACAAGCCAGCATAATTCCCCTCAACTCTGCCACCTACCAAACCCTTCCACTGATGTCCCCAACTATGATCCAGGCAATAAGACTATTATTTTATAGCTAGATATTTATTTATGTATTATACAGTTCTTTACCATTCATGGTGTTGAAATCTAAAAATACCCCTTTATATTGAGTGTGTTTATAGGTCAGCAAGCATCTAAAATAGTAGTATACTTTTGAGTTTATAATGCATGCTATCGGTATGAAATAGATTTCTCCCCCACCAGAATATTCCAATTATACATTTAAAGGAGGGAGAAAAACCTCCACCCTACCTACGGTGGATCCTGAATATGTTCTACTGGGATTTCTTATTCAGTCTAGGAAAACTCCGTCAATGGAATGTTTTCATAGTGGCGGCAATTTCTTTAAAATAACCCTAAATACAATATGACAGATGCCATCTGGCATAATCTTTTGCTAGTTGCTTTTAACTTTTATTTTTCCTAGAGCTAAGTTCATCCAAAACTGGTCACTCACTGTTATAAGTAAATGCCATTTCTTTTCCTTCCTGTCTTCCTAATTGTATCAAAAAAAATTCTCTGAGAATATAATTGATAATTATACATTTCCACAGAAGAAGCTGTTGTATATAGAATATTTATGTTGCATTTTTTTCCTTGCCGCTCCGCCCCCCTCCCAATAAAGTCAAAAGAATACCATCCTTTAGCAATCAGCAAACATCCAAATAATTTCTGTTGATTTTCTTGGGACTTTTAGAATAATAACCATTAGAAATAAAATTAAACTCTTCTAATAAATAAATGCTCTAGGAGCATGTAATAGTGCCCATAAATGCTTAAAAGGCTTTCTATAATTGCTGTTAATTTTGAGTAATTTCTTCCTATATGTATCAACTTACTTGAAAAACCCAGAGTTGGTATTTCTAGATTTTTTTTAACTTAGTCATGTAAAGGGATGTCTCCTGATGCCAGTTAGAGTTTAATTTAGAGTAGTAATTAAACTTGAATACTGCCTCATAAACAAAAGATAAACAATAAACCAGCCAC